GTCTTCGGGTCTAACTTTTACCTGCATAAACATTTCGGCGATGTCCGCCGAGACAGCGATGTTATGGCGACGAAAGCGCATCATGACTCCTGGTAATGACTGTAGTAAGTCTGGACCCGTGAGCAGGAAATCATTCAATGCCATTCCTTTTGTTTTGGCTGCGGCATCGTGTACTATGCGAAACTTTTCTGGTTTCATCGGATTATGGACATCGAAATGAGGTAGATACCATGTCTTTCCTGGTGTACTATTCTTTGGCGCTATTTCGGCGTATCCCTTTTGTATCAGGGAATTCATTTCTTCGTTGTACTTCTGCTTTAGCTCTTCGTTTCGATCTAGTTTTTTCTCGATAGAAACGAGCCTGTTTATCGCCGTTTCATAATTTCCAGGCATTTCGATGTTTTTCTTTTTCCATAGAAGCGCTGTTTCTATGTGCCCGTCTTCCAACTGACGGGTGCTGCTATTTAGTATTTCTTCGGCTTGCTTCTCTGGATCGGAATCTGGTTTTCTCGGATTTATCATTAAAGATTCCAGCGCGAAGTATTCGCGGAGTTGGTCATTTATATTCTCCTCGCTCGTGCACAGCTCGTTGGCCGTGTGGACGCGCTGATGCGGGGCTTTAGTGTGCGCCCCGTGTAGCACCCATCCCAGTTCTGTGAGCGAGGCTATTGGCTGGTGCGGTGGACCTCTGCGTACTTGTGTGGCTATTAAGAGTCTCCAGTTGTCTTGTCCTATCAGGATCCTAGGGTTGCCTGAATCATATGTCAATTGATCCTTTAAGCCTTTCAAATGCTTACAATTTTCTATGTCTGTTGCACGCACAGTCTGCGGCCCCAAGTTTAGGCTGGCGACCGTGCGTGCTCTGAATGGCACCCTTTTTCTATGGAGACTTTTTAGTGACACTTTGACTCTTTGGGAGTCCGGCGAATCGAGGGTAGTGTTCCCGATAGCTGTGATCTTGAATGGGTCCAACCGCCCTTTAGCTCCAATTTGATCGGCAATCTCTTGATCCATTAACGAGACTGTCGACCCATCATCCAGCAGAGCGTGTGTGTTTATTGCTCCCGCCGGTCCAATTACTCGAACTGGAATTATCTTCAAGTAAGCTTGATGCTTTGATACAGCGAATGAGTTTGCCACTGTCTCTTGAGGTTCTTTTAGTGGGCCCTCTGTCTTTTCCTTTCTATTATTATGAAGGAGTCGATTGTGTGTCGCGTTGCATCCTTTTATTCCACACTTCGTGGTTTTGCATCTGTGTGTCTGACTTCTATAACGCAGACACCGGAAACATAAATTCCTTTGCTTGGCGAGTTGCCATCTTTTATCAATATCTGCCTCTTTAAACTTGTTGCAGTCGGATCCGTAATGACCCTCTTTTTCGCACACACTGCATTTCGGAGACGGCTTAGTGGTAGCCGTGTGCGTCCTATGCACTGGACGATTATTTTGCGCTCCGCTTATGATCTCAGGAGGCGCAAATGCACTACAGTAGCGAGCTTGTTCGGTGATAAATTCACTGAAGGAACCGAGGTCTGGTCTTGAGTCATACTTTTCTGTATAAATTCTATACCACTGCGCGCGTATAGAGTTTGGCAGTTTGTCTGTGAGGTGTCGTAGCAGCTCTGCGTTAACGAGGTAATGGTCTCGCTTGAGTGCTCGAAGTGTGACGACGCTTCCCCTCACTTTGCTCGCGAATGTACAAATATCTCTGGGTGCCTCTGTACAGCGTGGCAATCCCCGTAATTTATCGGTTTCTGCTTGCGCGATTGAATCTGGACGCCCAAATTGTAGCTCCAGTTCTCGCATAATCTCATCTGGTTTAGCATGCCCGATGAGTTCCGAACTAACTGTTTCCAAGGCTCTTCCTTGTAGACTTCTTCGTAGTCTAGCAGTATTTTCTATGTCATTGAAGTAGCCTCGGGTTGTTTCATAAATGGCACGGAACGAAAGCCATTCAGTATGTGCTCCGCTAAAGCTCGGCAGTGTCATTATCGCTTTTGATGCTGCGAAAGTATTTGACGATGCACTCTCTGGTTTTGGTTTATCAGCGAGTGCGGCTATAGCGGACGTGAGCTCCGATATGAATGGTCGGAGCACCCTGTCTTCATTGCTGACAGGTGCCTGGTTAGGTCTTTTTATTATGGGATTCTTGGTTGCTTCTTCCGGTTGGGGATCCTGGTAGGCGGGCTCTGATACAGCAGGTAGGAGCCCCCTGTCTTCATCAACCTTGGGGTCCTGGCAAGTCTTCTGAGGTACGGGACTCTTCGGTATATTTTCAGCATTGGGATCCTGGTAGGTGAGCTCTGATACAGCAGGTAGGAGCTCCCTTTCTTCATCAACCTTCGAATCCTTGTTTGTGAGCTTCATCGGCGGCTCACTGAGGTCGACAACCTCCGGGGGTGGCTTTGTGATGTTTTTATTAAGTGGGGCCTCCCCACCGGTGGTTGCGCCTTGCGTTGGCTTTTGTTTGGCTACAGAATTTTCGAGCCAAGATCGGACATACTCACTTTTGGAGTGACCATCCTCATCATAGTCGTCCGATTCATCATCTTCTTCAGCCATTTGTAATGAGATCTGTGCGAGTTCCAATTTTATTCTCAGCACTTCCTCACGAGCCTTCAAAACCTTTTTACTGGGCCGAGTGGTCTTCTTTGACCTTGTACTTTTATCGGTGTGGCCCCTTGGTGGCTCTTCGGCGCGGGAATATACCCGGGCTGTTGGCGGTGATGCACAGCGAATGTCATCGTTGCCTTCTATTTGTTTCCTCTGCTTCGGTGTACCAGCTTTAACAACGGCTGGCACTGGCAGGTGTACCCCCCCATCGCAGGGGCAAGCTATCTGTTCTCTCTGCTTCGGTGTACCGGCTTTAACAACGGCTGGCACAGGCAGGAGTACCCCCCCATCGCGGGGGCAAGCTGGCGCTGAGGCGCCTTCTGTTGTGGATGGTGAGCGTGGTGGCATCTGGTGGCGGACGGTGTCGGTATTGTCCGACGGTCCATCATCCAGACCGACAGTCCACGCCATGGTTCCCCTTCCTTGCGAACGAGTGATCGGCATCTTGATTCTGAAATTTCAGCAACTTTAAAACGGTAGTGATTATTTACCCGGTTCCGAAATACTAACGGATTGACGAATCCCGTTCGAATGACCAGCGTATGTGGTCCGGTGTATACGGATGATTCGGCTCAAAAGGACCATAAAATGGTCCAGCCGGCAGTACAGGTGGAAGAATCCGGCTCGAAGGACCATAAAATGTGCCGGACGGGCGAAAATCTCCGGAGTAAATGTTGTCGGAGATACCCCGCGAGTCGCTCACGTCCTACACCTGTAGGTTCCAGACTCCTCCAACTGCCGTCTTTCACTGCCGTCTTTCACTGCCGTCTCTTTGGTTGCTGCGAATAAACTGTGGACTGAGGTTCAAAATTAAAATGCACGATTTGTAAATTAAAATAGCAAGGGAGTGGCCAGCGGATCGACTAATTAATTTGTCGCGAGATTTTACACTGTTATTTATTTATCACTATTTTTCAACTATGATTGTTCACTATATATTTTAAAACACAGATTTAATTAAACACACAGTAATATTAAAATTTCTATTGGTTTTCTAAAATTTCTATTCGTATTTTTAAAATATCTGTTGGTAATATCAAATTTCTATTGGCAGTAACAAGTTTCCATTGGTATTCTCTACGATTTCTATTGGTAATTTTAAATATCTATTGAAAGTAACAAATTTCTATTGGTAGTATCCAAAATTTCTATTGGTAGCAGCTGGTTTTCTAACACTACTGACTAGCAGCTATTAATCAACTAAAATTAGTTGAATTTAAACACTTTTGTAACTGCGAATATCAGTTACCACTTTTTTCGTCTAGCTAACACTTTTCACGAAATGTAACGGCGAAATTTCCGTTACCACTTTTTTCAGCTAGCCAACACTTTTTCACTATATGTAACTGCGAATATCAGTTACCACTATTTTTGGCTAGCTGACACTATTTTTCTATGTGCAACTGAGAATTTTCAGTTGCCACTTTTTCCGACTATGTGTAACTGCGATTTTTCAGTTACGACCTTTTTCGGCTAGCTAAACTTTTCTATTTCACTTTAACTTTTCACTGTGTTCTGCTACTAGTCACTTCAGCTACTACCGGATACTGCTGCTTGTTACTGGTAGTTCTTCCTACTACCATGTTACTGTGATTTGCCCCCATAAGGTAGACTTCGGCTATACTCTATAGAGAGCCGCTTGCCAATTTCCGGTTTTGCCTTTTTATTATCAAACATTTTCATTATGTATTTTGCACAAATCGCAATTTTTCTATATAATGCTAATTTTTACATTAACACGCTATACACTATAAAATAGGCATTTTGGTCCTTTATCATTATGTGATAAGGGTTACTTGATATATTTACATTCAAAAAAGTTATTAATCAAAATGTGCCTAATTTACATAACAAAAGTGCACATTAAATCTTTAATTTTACTATATTTCTCAAATGCGTTTATTTACATAAATTATCTATTTACTTATTTCAATCTATATACCATATGCTAACTAAATACCATATTTACAACTCTTTTCAGACATAAAATTATTCTCATTAATTTTTTGCTTAAAACTATTACGCAGTTAATTTAAATTTCCAGAAAGTTCTATAGCGCGGCGCGCTGTGATTGGTCGATATTTTCTTAAACAAATTAAAGTTGTTTATATTAACTATTGTCAAATCGACCTTCTATTCAAACATATTGAGAGTTGTAAATACATGGTAAAACTATATTTAATACATTATTTAGTCAATTTTTCCGTATTTCCATTTTTTAAACAAATAAATATTCCTTAATCACTTTCTCGTTTAAAGTCATTTTTGCCGTTGTGAACAGTCATTTTGGCCGTCTCGAACAATATCTATAACACGTAAATAATTCAAACTTTCCTGTTGTCTTACATTTTACCTCATAACATTACATGTTTAATTTGCTTTTACAGGTATGCTCTCGTGCGGTTGGCACTGCGGTGATGCCGGAAGCTGGTGCGGCCACGCCGCCTAAGAAACCCAAGTACGGATCAGGAGCCGTGCCGGTGAGAAAATTTGCATGACCTTAGCAAGTGTTATTTTAATCAGAAACTTACAGTCTGGCTCGAAAGAGTAGTGTAGATTTTTTTTATTTGTCTATATTTGAATGTTACCTACGATGTAATAGTAATGTGAAAGTAAACCTTTATTTGTCTCGATGATAAGCATTGACCTCCTCGTAATTCTGAGAGAGTTATGAGTTAATTACAGACCGCCGCGCTGCTCCAGTGTGCGTGGGCGTACTACAACCTTATGGGTAATCCGATATCACTCAAATTGTGTGTGTCTCTGTGTGTGTATCTGTGTACACGTTGTATACACAGTTTTCTATTTGATATTTGTAACTTTTAAAATATGTAATTTATTTATTTTATTTAAAAACTTAAATGTAACACCTTAAGGTAAAGGGTACACAGGGCGGACTTAATGCCATATGGCATTCTCTGCCAGTTAACCCTGGGTGCCAAAAACAGTTGTAGGCAGGTGCGAACCATAATATATAAATAAAGTGTAGGTACATATACTAAAATATGATATATACATAGTACATACAGACGCAACATATATATACATACAATAATACATACATACATATATGTAACGTGTATACATGCTTATAAATTTTATAAATAAATATGATATTTTATAAAGATATCAGTTAGTAACTTTACTGTACACGTTGAATACAAAGTTTTCTGTTTGATATCGTTAACTTTTAAAATATGTAATGTACTTTAGCATGGATCTTTGAATTATTTCCAGCCTCAAGGAATTTGGTTTCTGTGGCTACACTCCATCTTGGTATGCAATACACGATTGAAGTTGTAGCAGTAAAATGTGAATATAATTTATTATACCGTGTTGTGTTTGTATAAGAATATCCACTCCCCATATCGTCTGGTGAGTGTTGTAAGAGATGACAGAGGGAAACAAAAGCATAGAGTTCCATTTTCAAAATTTGAACTTATTTTTTTATTATATCGTTTACAAGTGGCCAGTTCTAAACATTTCCCTGTCGCCGTGTACCAATCCGCCTGCCAAGTGGCAACTATACCAAAATCCTCCCTATGACACAATCAATGGGATGTCAAAGCAGAACCCGCTGCAATGATAATCTACGGGGTACCACAGCACAGTCTCGTTGTTCTAGTAGTCATATATGCAACTGCTGATCATGAGGTTCTCGGTTCGAATCCCGGCGCGGGCCAAAAAAGTCAGTTATTGAGTTTTTCTGTCAAGAAATTAACATTAGCATCCCAGAGTCAAGGCGTTGTCGATGTTCCATCCCCGTGCCTCGGAAAAGCACGTAAAGCCGTTGGTGTTGCACCCAATCTCTCTCCGGTCGTGTTGGTTTACCGTCCCATCAGACTATGAAAGTGAGGGAATAGAGAGTTATACACTTGGCCACTATAACCTTGTATAACATCTGCGCTGGATGCTAGTTTTTTTTAAGACCGGCCGCCGTGACCGAAATTCGGTCTTACGAACATTATTACCACATCACTGGTTTTCAGTCAGGGATCTTAATTGTGTCACGAACAACCGGACATATAATTTGTTATGTTATATGAAACAGAGCGGTGCCAACTGTGCGACGGTGTCGTGCGTCGACATTTCGCACCTGGGCGGGCTGGCGGTCGCCGTGGACACGCACTCGCAGCTGCACGTGTACAAGCTGCCGCAACCTTGTGCCGACATACGTGAGTCACATACAAATTTTTTTTTTTTATTGAATAAGAGTAACAAACGAGCACACAGTCCACCTGAATGTAAGTGGATGGCCCAAAGACATTTAACCATGATTAAAATTAAATATGCAGATGGTTTGCTATCCCTGAGGACTGAGGTGGAATTCCTCATTTCCAGTAAAAAGAGTCTCCGGTTCCCTACACGCACCATACGAAACACAGCAACATTAATCTGTTATTTTACGCTGGTAATAAGAACGTTTTCCCAGCCCGAACGAGCGGAACCATTCTTGCTGCAAACGATGAAAAATTACTTCAGTGTTAAATTTTAAAAAAAAATGTCCAAATGCGTGTTTATGACACATCTTCGTGTGTCATTCTGTAGATTATTATATTATTATAAAGACATTTATTTCCTTAACAAAATTATTAAAATACATTTCATTAATTATTAATTTCATTAAATAATTTAAAATTAGAAATAAAACTATAACTATACTATATAACATAATCAGATCATGAAAGAAAATACATTTAAATAAGATAAAATTATCGTTACAATTAATAATTTTTAATTTAATTTTTTTTTCTTCTATAGATTATCACCTATGTTAATAAGTAATAATCTACAAAATAGTACTAGTAAGTGATAATCTATATGTAAATTTAATGTTTACAATTTTAATTGAAAGGGTTCTAAGAGAAGTAAGACCTCTTTTTCTTTTATAATATTATTATGTAATTAGGTATTTATCGTGATTGCAAACTCCTAACGAGTCCACGGGTGAACATAACCCTCCCTCAAGGAACTCCACAAAACACAGTCCTTAGCCCCAATTACGAGGAATGCAAATGCATTTTAATTTGATTTATATAGTTTATTATAGGAATATAATTTACAAATGGTGGTATAAATGTGATGTATCATTCAACTGTAAATTTTTCACCTTAAATATAGACCTATCTATATCGAAACGTTCAAAATGTTTATCTAATTCGGTCAAAGACTCTGAAGACAAAAAGAAAGTTTATTGCTAAACTTTGACTAGTACTCACCACCTGATGGTAAGTGATGATGTCACCGAAGATGGTAAACGGTTTGACTTGGCTTAATAAACGCCTCCTCACTCTGATTTCTTGTTATGATAGTGGAACCTTAAAAAACAACATATTATTTTTTTTTTTTTAAACGTTACCCCCACACTAGGATTTTCTCCTGTATCGTGGAGGCAGTTTACAAACACAAATTTCACAAGGACAAACATCCAGACCCGGAACAATCATTTGTAGGCCATACAAATACTTGTTCCGTGCGGGATTCGAACCCGCGCCCCCCAGCGCAGCAACTCATTGCTAAGCCACTGCGCCACGGAGCCGTCAATTTAGAGCCGTATTGCATAGAACATATTCTATTATCGACAGTCTCGTTGGTCGAGTGGTCGTAAACGTGGTTGTTGATCTTGAGTTCCCGGGTTCAAACCGCGCGTCGGGCCAAAATCGGGGTTACTGGGTTTTTCATTCAAGAAATACTCAGTAGCGGCCCGGAGTCAGGAAGTTGTCGTTGCTTCACCCCTGTGCCTCGGAAAGCACATAAAGCCGTTGGTCTTGTGCCTGATCTCTCTCCGGTCGTATAACAGTCCCATCGGACTATGAGAGGGAATGGAGAGTGCACCTATGCTTGCTTATACACTCGTACACTATAATCCTGCCCTGCACAGATGGCTAGTCACTGTTGAGACTGGCCGCTGTGACTGAAATTCGATCTGGAAGACATTATTTTTATTGTTTGTCCAGCGACTCCTCTGTCAGTCCAGCACATTGCCATGCAGTTAGAGTACGCTATGGTGTCCGGCTACGACTGCTTGGATCTGCTTATGACTATGAAGCACAACATTGTTGAGGCTGTATACGACAGGTGAGCGTTTTCTCTTATTTGAATCTATCAATCTATTACAGCCTATAAAAGTCCTCTGCTGAACATCCTCCCCCATACATTTCCTCATAGGGAGCGTTTTGCCATATGTTGCCACACCTGGCAAGCGGGTTTTGCAACCGCAGTTTTTTTATTATTTTGTTTGGTTATCTGGAAGAAGCTGCTGCTCATCTCCTGTTTTAAGTTTCCCTCTGTCGCCTCTTACGATACCCACGGGACGATATGAGGTAGTGGATATTCCATCACCGCCACTTGCAACAAAAACGTTTAGCGTTATATTTCAGCTTGTCTATTTAGTGTCAAAACTTATCAACTGTCAAAATTTCGTTCTGGATTCGATGGAATATTCTATGTTGTAAATTAATGGTATCAAATTAAAACAAGGGATAAATTATATAATACTTGCTGACCCGGCGAACTTCGCACCGCCAAACAGTCGATTGTTTAATTATTTTTTTAATACTTATTCTGCTGTTCGAGACACCGGGTCAGCTACTAAGATAAAAAAGAAAAAATAAAGTTGATAAGTCAACAATTACATTATGTCAAAAACTAAAAATTATAAAACACAATTGAAAAATATTGACATTAATATTTATACGATACAAACGTCACTAAATTGTTATGCCTTCCCAGAACCCTTCCACTAACACTTAAACTTTATGGTATGGTATTAAAGTTCAAATTTACTTTTAAGTATTATTACGAATCTTTTGTATGAGAATATAGAAAAGTGTTGTTTTTGGACTTTTTCAGGCAATTTTTAAATGTTTCTCTCCGTAAGAACCATCTTCGTACTTCAAGGAATATTATAAAAAAAAGAATTAGCGAAATCGGTTCAGCTGCTCTAGAGATTTGCGCTTAGCAACACATTCAGCGATTCATTTTTAGCCTCAAGAAATACTTTAACCTACCTTCAAAATCCACTTTTTTTTTTTTCAAAAATTCAATTTTAGTTTTAATATGTGTGTTCTTATTTTTTTTTATATCAACGTCCCGTTGTTGCACTATAATTGAAATAAGAAATCAATGACATCATTCTGCGACTTCTTATTTTATTCCTGCATATAAAAGCAAATTTGTTTTGTAATTTTTCTGCGAGCAATTCGGAAAAAAATATCCAGTATTAATTTCAGTACAAGTCCAGTACAAAATCGTTTATTTTAAGTCAAGTTTACATTTAATAACAATGGGTTATCACCTGCAAACTGATATATCTCAGACATTTTTCAATTATGACTTATTGTGCACATGCCAAAATATTATATGTATGAAGCATATCTTATTTTAATTGCTAAGAATAGATCATTGTAGTCGGTTTCTTTTTTAGTTACAATAATTTACTTTAGTACTAGCTGTTCCCCACGATCTCGTCGGCGTAGAAGTTGTTATTACGATTAGATTTTATAGGTTTTAATTTTTTGCGCGGAATCCTAATTCTTTTTATAAAATATAATTAGCCTAAGCTACTCTTCTAAAATCAGCAATCTGCCAGTGAAAGTCCAGTCAAAATCGGTCCAGCTATTTGGGAGATCAGTCGCAACGAACAGACAGACAGGCAGACATTTTTGTAATATTTTTTTTTTGTTATAAGTAGCGTATACAATTTTAGCAGCATTTAGTAAAAAACTGTTATTTCGACATTACAAACAAACACTAATTTTATTTATTTTTATAGATTTTTAACAAAATCCCAAATATTTAATTAAATAGACCATTGTTTTACTGTTATAAACCAGTGCTTGACTACTATCCCACCTTACCTTTACAAAAGTCTTCTTACTTAGTTTAACAAAAGCCTATTCACTCTTAAAGCGTCTCCCACACACAAGCGGCTTGCGGTGGCGGCTAACCGCAGGCCGCGGCTCCAGCCGCTGCAACAACATACCACCGCGGCCGGAATGGCGGCCTGAAGCGTCATTCGCTGTGGTGTCTGTACTACGATCGGACGTCAGTAAACATGACAAACCGTGGCGAAGTTTTATTATATTCAGCAATATTATCATATATTTTGTTTTTAATCCTAATGCTTTTGTGATCACGATGCGAATTATCATAAAGTACAGGATAATTTTGCACTGTTTCTATAAAACCTCTGAATTTAGCACCATTTTTCACGCGGTACACGCGGCCTGTTGTAAAAATTTACAACTGACCGCGCTGCGGCCACCGACTGACCGCGTACTCGCTAATACACACGCGTTGGCGGCAGGGGCGGAGCATGCGGCCGCGGCCAGCCGCTATCAGGCCGCGCCATGGCCGCACGAGTTTACAGACTCACTTACATTGCAAGCGAATATAACTGGCCGCCACCGCGGCCGCTACCGCAAGCCGCGTCTGTGTGGGAGACGCTTAACTCCCACATTAAAATCGGATGAAATGTCAGATGCTGGCAAATTATTTAACTCCTTTGCTGTATGCATTGTGAAGGACGAAGCAAACCGTTTGGTTCAAATGCGTGGTATGTCGATAACAAACGGGAGAGAGGAGAATTAAGTCATTTAATTCCTGCGCGCACTGTCCGAAATGTAATGCATTTAGTTCTGCAACTTTCAATACAGGTTGACGGAGAACTTCCAGCGGCAGCCGCAATCTTTCCAGCAGTACTATTATCATAGTTGGTTGAAGCTAAGAATTGCCCTTTGTAGGTAAGTATTAATTTATATTTTACTCGTATAAACACTCACAAGTAAACCAATTTTTCTCCAAATAGTTACAATTTAACCTTATAAAATATAATCATAAATAAATGAAGTCGATGGCAACTCATTGTGTCCACGCATTTTTATTTTTTAAATTTTGGCCTTTGTTTCTATCTGTATAAAAAATATTGGTATTAATAATGTAGGGAATGTATTTTGATTAAATCTTAGTAGCTTATACGTGGTAGAGCCATGTTGCAGCTATATTGGTAGTATAGTTGTAGCACGAATGGGTCGGCTTGACCGGGGAAGGACCACGCTCTCACAGAATACCAGCGTAAAATAGCAGTTTAACGCTGCTGTGTTTCGTATGGTGAGTGTAGAGAACCGGAGGCCCTTTTTACTGGAAATGAGGCACTCCATCTTAGTTCTCACGGGTGACAATGCATCTGAATTTTGATTCGCAAACGAGGATAAATGTATATAGATGTCTATGGGCCACAGTAACCACTTACCATCAGGTGGATTATGTGCTCGTTTCGTTTCAATTTGTTCTCGGTATAAATCACTGAAATTTAATTCATTCATCATACCTTTAAAGCCCGTCACAATTCCACTGCTGACTGCCAGAGCCACCACGCTTGGCTATTAAAAAAATATAATAATTATAAATGAAATGTTCAGCCATACGGGTTGGCAACCGCAATTTTTGAATATTATAAAGTTGTTATTATACAGTTACAGCAAAGAATTATAGTGACCGAGTGTGTGATACGTAAGCACAGTTGCACTCTCTATTCCCTCACTCTCGTAGTCCGATGGGACGGCAATCCGACTCGACCGGAAAGAAATCAGGCGCAGGATCAACGGGTTTACGTGCTTTACGAGGCACGGGGATGAAACACCACCAACTTCCTGACTCCACGCTGCTACTGAGAATTTTTTAACAGAAAACCCAATTACTGATTTTGGCCCGACTTTGAATTCGAACCTGGATCTTTAACAGCCGTGTTCACAATCACTAGACCAACGAGGCAGTTATTGTTTTATATACATACACTAGAAACCGAAAAGCTTTTCAAACACAATTAAAAAGCTTTTTAATGACAAATAAGTTCAGCTAAGTCCCAACTAGCGACATCTGGTGAGCGTAAAATTGTTAGCCCTTATAACATGGGTGTGGGTGTGTAGCCTGGTGGGCGGTGCTCGCGGGTGTGCTGCGGCACTAACAGCGCTGCAGCTGGCTCAGGCTGCCTGGGCGGCGTGCAGCGCGGCGCTGCGCACCGACGACAAGCCCGACGCGCCGCTCGCCGCACTGCTCGACGAGCACGACCATGAGAAGGTGATACACCGATCACGTTCGAAAACGCACGAACACATACATACACTATAAAGATACATTAAGGTGAAAGCTCCAGGGTGGCCCGCAAAATTCAAATTTTTCTTACGTTTTTTTGGTACTTGCAGGTCAGGGTCAGGTTGAATGTTTAATAACATATGATTCGCGACCGTAACGAGTATGTGTTTATAGAATTATTATCATTAAAATTACCAATACAACCCTCTAATTTCATATAATCCCTTTGAATGAATTTTTCTGGAAATAGCCATACATTGGAATTATACAAACATAGACGGTTGTATTGATGATTATAATGATTATAATTCTGTAAATACATACTCGTTACGGTCGCGAATCATATTTTGTTAAACATTCAACCTGATACTGACCTGCAAATTGCAAAAAACCTAAAAAAAATTGATTTTCGCGGGCTACCGTGACACTTCCACCTTAAAGTTAAAAATGTTCAAATTTAATTAGCTTAGATCTGCGTAATAAAATAAAATAAAATTATGTGTCTTACCTAGTTTGAAGAGCACCTCCTGCTCACTCTCATTTGCGTTACTACTTAACCATTATAATTACAAGCTATGAGACATGTAGTTGCAGGTGTCCTTGGTTTGCAGTAGCCAGTTACCATCAGGTGAACTGTGTGATTTTCTTATTTTGTCAATATTATGATAAAATAATAAGCTCACAAAAAGGTTCGTCTCTTTAAGGCTCCACTGGTAAACAACCCTTATAATTTCTCAGTTTACATATTGGGAATTACAATTTTTTGTTAAATGAATATACTTCTAAATTTATATATCATTAAGTATAAAACACCAGATGTATAGTGCTGTCTCAACTGTTTATTTCTTCTGTTCATCATTATATATATTTTTAATTTAATGTATAGCTATCTACTCTTACTTACTTACGAGTTTTTTGTACAATATTTACACTTACTTCTTTTAGAGTCTTTTAGCTCTGGAAGCGAAGGCGGAAACGTTAGGAGAAGGGGCTTCTTCACCGTTCTTAGCGCTCCAAGCGTTGCGGCGTCCCTTGCAGCGTGCAATCGACACAGCGCTAACAGCCCTCGCTGCTTTAGTCGCTGTTGCTGCCTCGCCGCAGATGCATCAGTCTAATGGGTAAAAATGCCTACAATCTTCACAGATTTATTCATATACTTTTGTAAATAAGCTCTTAATTTGGATGTCTTCTAACTATGATGAGTGTGGAAGTATATAAACCATGAATACTTTTCAAATTTTTTGTAATATTTTAAAAACATCAACGTACTAAAAAAATGGCATGTTAAAAGGTTGAAAGTACGAGTAAATGTTATTAATGTACAAAATGAACAATAAAGGACCTAAAATCAACACTTGGTGGACGCACACCTGGTGGTATATTTCTTAATAATAATATAGATTTGCATAAATAAAAATAAAAATAAAATATTAATTGATACAATTGATTGAGTAAGAAAATATTTTAAGGCAGCTTTTTATGATAAAAGTTAGATATAGAATTACAGTATACAGTCTTTCTGTTATTATTAACAGAAAGACTACTGCTTCTCTCGTAGGCTAAATTTTATAGATGTATTTGTTTATCTCTTTTCAGTGCCGCTTTTACGTTTCGTCGAGTTTCAAATCACGACTATTCTAAAGGAGTTTTCACTTCAAACAACCTACCCCGTTAAAGTACCCTCACGTCGCACATACTTAAGTGGTACTCATTGGTGCAGGTACGAGGTGTGGTCGGATGGCAGCGCGCTGTGCGTGCTGCGGCGCCTGGTGGTGTGCGCGCGCGCGTGCGGGCGCGGCGGCGACGCGCTCAGCCGGCCGCTGGCGCGCCTCGCCGCCACCGCTGCCACCGCACCCGCCGCCGCTGCCACGCCGCCCGCTCCCAAGCCCGACCTGCTCGGTGAGTGCTCCCCACAGGCCTGCAGTACTGCAGTGTGTGCGGGCGCGGCGGCGACGCGCTCAGCCGGCCGCTGGCGCGCCTCGCCGCCACCGCTGCCACCGCACCCGCCGCCGCTGCCACGCCGCCCGCTCCCAAGCCCGACCTGCTCGGTGAGTGCTCCCCACAGGCCTGCAGTACTGCAGTGTGTGCGGGCGCGGCGGCGACGCGCTCAGCCGGCCGCTGGCGCGCCTCGCCGCCACCGCTGCCACCGCACCCGCCGCCGCTGCCACGCCGCCCGCTCCCAAGCCCGACCTGCTCGGTGAGTGCTCCCCACAGGCCTGCAGTACTGCAGTGTGTGCGGGCGCGGCGGCGACGCGCTCAGCCGGCCGCTGGCGCGCCTCGCCGCCACCGCTGCCACCGCACCCGCCGCCGCTGCCACGCCGCCCGCTCCCAAGCCCGACCTGCTCGGTGAGTGCTCCCCACAGGCCTGCAGTACTGCAGTGTGTGCGGGCGCGGCGGCGACGCGCTCAGCCGGCCGCTGGCGCGCCTCGCCGCCACCGCTGCCACCGCACCCGCCGCCGCTGCCACGCCGCCCGCTCCCAAGCCCGACCTGCTCGGTGAGTGCTCCCCACAGGCCTGCAGTACTGCAGTGTGTGCGGGCGCGGCGGCGACGCGCTCAGCCGGCCGCTGGCGCGCCTCGCCGCCACCGCTGCCACCGCACCCGCCGCCGCTGCCACGCCGCCCGCTCCCAAGCCCGACCTGCTCGGTGAGTGCTCCCCACAGGCCTGCAGTACTGCAGTGTGTGCGGGCGCGGCGGCGACGCGCTCAGCCGGCCGCTGGCGCGCCTCGCCGCCACCGCTGCCACCGCACCCGCCGCCGCTGCCACGCCGCCCGCTCCCAAGCCCGACCTGCTCGGTGAGTGCTCCCCACAGGCCTGCAGTACTGCAGTGTGTGCGGGCGCGGCGGCGACGCGCTCAGCCGGCCGCTGGTGCGCCTCGCCGCCACCGCTGCCACCGCACCCGCCGCCGCTGCCTCGCCGCCCGCTCCCAAGCCCGACCTGCTCGGTGAGTGCTCCCCACAGGCCTGCAGTACTGCAGTGTGTGCGGGCGCGGCGGCGACGCGCTCAGCCGGCCGCTGGCGCTCTTCGCTGCCACGGCTGCCACCGCACCCGCCGCCGCTGCCACGCCGCCCGCTCCCAAGCCCGAACTGCTCGGTGAGTGCTCCCCACAGGCCTGCAGTACTGCAGTGTGTGCGGGCGCGGCGGCGACGCGCTCAGCCGGCCGCTGGCGCGCTTCGCCGCCACCGCTGCCACCGCACCCGCCGCCGCTGCCACGCCGCCCGCTCCCAAGCCCGACCTGCTCGGTGAGTGCTCCCCACAGGCCTGCAGTACTGCAGTGTGTGCGGGCGCGGCGGCGACGCGCTCAGCCGGCCGCTGGCGCGCCTCGCCGCCACCGCTGCCACCGCACCCGCCGCCGCTGCCACGCCGCCCGCTCCCAAGCCCGACCTGCTCGGTGAGTGCTCCCCACAGGCCTGCAGTACTGCAGTGTGTGCGGGCGCGGCGGCGACGCGCTCAGCCGGCCGCTGGCGCGCTTCGCTGCCACCGCTGCCACCGCACCCGCCGCCGCTGCCACGCCGCCCGCTCCCAAGCCCGACCTGCTCGGTGAGTGCTCCCCACAGGCCTGCAGTACTGCAGTGTGTGCGGGCGCGGCGGCGACGCGCTCAGCCGGCCGCTGGCGCGCCTCGCCGCCACCGCTGCCACCGCACCCGCCGCCGCTGCCACGCCGCCCGCTCCCAAGCCCGACCTGCTCGGTGAGTGCTCCCCACAGGCCTGCAGTACTGCAGTGTGTGCGGGCGCGGCGGCTACGCGCTCAGCCGGCCGCTGGCGCGCTTCGCTGCCACCGCTGCCACCGCACCCGCCGCCGCTGCCACGCCGCCCGCTCCCAAGCCCGACCTGCTCGGTGAGTGCTCCCCACAGGCCTGCAGTACTGCAGTGTGTGCGGGCGCGGCGGCGACGCGCTCAGCCGGCCGCTGGCGCGCCTCGCCGCCACCGCTGCCACCGCACCCGCCGCCGCTGCCACGCCGCCCGCTCCCAAGCCCGACCTGCTCGGTGAGTGCTCCCCACAGGCCTGCAGTACTGCAGTGTGTGCGGGCGCGGCGGCGACGCGCTCAGCCGGCCGCTGGCGCGCCTCGCCGCCACCGCTGCCACCGCACCCGCCGCCGCTGCCACGCCGCCCGCTCCCAAGCCCGACCTGCTCGGTGAGTGCTCCCCACAGGCCTGCAGTACTGCAGTGTGTGCGGGCGCGGCGGCGACGCGCTCAGCCGGCCGCTGGCGCGCTTCGCTGCCACCGCACCCGCCGCCGCTGCCACGCCGCCCGCTCCCAAGCCCGACCTGCTCGGTGAGTGCTCCCCACAGGCCTGCAGTACTGCAGTGTGTGCGGGCGCGGCGGCGACGCGCTCAGCCGGCCGCTGGCGCGCCTCGCCGCCACCGCTGCCACCGCACCCGCCGCCGCTGCCACGCCGCCCGCTCCCAAGCCCGACCTGCTCGGTGAGTGCTCCCCACAGGCCTGCAGTACTGCAGTGTGTGCGGGCGCGGCGGCGACGCGCTCAGCCGGCCGCTGGCGCGCCTCGCCGCCACCGCTGCCACCGCACCCGCCGCCGCTGCCACGCCGCCCGCTCCCAAGCCCGACCTGCTCGGTGAGTGCTCCCCACAGGCCTGCAGTACTGCAGTGTGTGCGGGCGCGGCGGCGACGCGCTCAGCCGGCCGCTGGCGCGCCTCGCCGCCACCGCTGCCACCGCACCCGCCGCCGCTGCCACGCCGCCCGCTCCCAAGCCCGACCTGCTCGGTGAGTGCTCCCCACAGGCCTGCAGTACTGCAGTGTGTGCGGGCGCGGCGGCGACGCGCTCAGCCGGCCGCTGGCGCGCTTCGCTGCCACCGCTGCCACCGCACCCGCCGCCGCTGCCACGCCGCCCGCTCCCAAGTCCGACCTGCTCGGTGAGTGCTCCCCACAGGCCTGCAGTACTGCAGTGTGTGCGGGCGCGGCGGCGACGCGCTCAGCCGGCCGCTGGCGCGCCTCGCCGCCACCGCTGCCACCGCACCCGCCGCCGCTGCCACACCGCCCGCTCCCAAGCCCGACCTGCTCGGTGAGTGCTCCCCACAGGCCTGCAGTACTGCAGTGTGTGCGGGCGCGGCGGCGACGCGCTCAGCCGGCCGCTGGCGCGCCTCGCCGCCACCGCTGCCACCGCACCCGCCGCCGCTGCCACGCCGCCCGCTCCCAAGCCCGACCTGCTCGGTGAGTGCTCCCCACAGGCCTGCAGTACTGCAGTGTGTGCGGGCGCGGCGGCGACGCGCTCAGCCGGCCGCTGGCGCGCCTCGCCGCCACCGCTGCCACCGCACCCGCCGCCGCTGCCACGCCGCCCGCTCCCAAGCCCGACCTGCTCGGTGAGTGCTCCCCACAGGCCTGCAGTACTGCAGTGTGTGCGGGCGCGGCGGCGACGCGCTCAGCCGGCCGCTGGCGCGCCTCGCCGCCACCGCTGCCACCGCACCCGCCGCCGCTGCCACGCCGCCCGCTCCCAAGCCCGACCTGCTCGGTGAGTGCTCCCCACAGGCCTGCAGTACTGCAGTGTGTGCGGGAGCGGCAGCGACGTGCTCAGCCGGCCTCTGGCGCGCCTCGCCGCCACCGCTGCCACTGCACCCGCCGCTGCTGCCACGCCGCCCACTCCTAAGCCCGACCTACTCGGTGAGTGCTTGCAAGACCCGCTGCGCATTGATCTACTGTCACGGTCGTGCAGACATAATCGATGTCTTAGTAACCGCTGCCACGCCCGCCGCTCCCAAGCCCGACAAGCTAGGTAAGTGCTGCTTACAGGATTCGCTGCGCATCGATCTGCCCCCACAGTCTTACAAACAGAAACGCTGCGTCCGCCGCCACCGCTGTCAAGCCCGAACTGCTACGGGAGTGCTTTTTGCAGGATTTGCGCTGCGTCTCGACCTATTTTCTACAGTCGTACAGACAGAGACGCTGCATCCGCCGCCACTGCTCCAGAGCCCGACCTTTTTCTTGCATGCCTTAAGCGCGAAGCGCGTAGATATGTTCTACTAGCGCCTAAAAATTTAGGTTCCAACGTTTTGACGCATGAAATCGTATCTAACAATCATATTGTACATATAATTGATATAAAAAGCACATTGCCAGAAAGATAAATGATTGTTGAACTTATTAATTTCTTTTTCAAATCGATTAATTTGTATTTTAGTGGCTTAGGGTGTGAATTTATCAAGTCCGCATGGTGGGGTAAACACGATAAGTTTTGAAAATATCAATTCTTAAACTCAATCTATTTTTTAAACTCTTCATCTATCATGTGGGAAGCAATGGAATGTAAATGGCAGTTTAATTTTGTTTTGTTTAGTTATAATTAATTTTGGCTGAGAAATGCCAAAATTTTCGGTATATTGAGCAGCCTTGTATTAATTTATTTTACTAAATACACTTTGTCTGTGTGTCTCACAGCTCACTCGCGCTTTGCGCTCGGCCGCCGTTGTGAATGGATTACTGTATCGTTTCGTTACAGCAGCGATAATAGGCAGCAAAAATATCGATCGTTGTAGAAATGCAAAATATCCCAAAAACCAAATTTGATGCATACTTGACCAAGGTTATTGTTTTTATGATCACAAATTTTTATTACAATATTTTGTTTCGCTAAAGGTGCGCAAGATTTATAATTTATATATAAATATACTTATACGTCTTGGACTTTATGGAGACCTGAATACGTACTTCGGTATTTGCTACTGCTGAGATTGTGCTCGTTATGTTAGTTATGATGAAACCTTACCCCCGGACTTGACAGAGTGACTTCAAGGTGTACTTCGGTGAATTCTACTGGAACTCCTCGAAGAGTTGTAATAGTAATAGGTGTGCTGATTTTGGGCTCGTTTTTTAGTTATGATGAGAACTTACCTCCGGACTTGATAGAGTGACTTGAAAGTGTACTTTGATGACTGCTACTGGAACTCCTCGACGAGAAAAACTAGATGTGTCGAGTTTGGGCTCGTTTTGTTAGTTATGATGAGACCTTGCCTCCGGACTTGATAAAGTGACTTGAAAGTGTACTTTGATGACTACTACTGGAACTCCTCGACGAGGAGAACTTGATGTGGCAAGCTGGGCTCGTTTTGTTAGTTATGAATAGACCTTACCTCCGGACTTAACGGATTGACTTCGGTGACTGCTAACTTTTTTTTAATTGAAGTTTGACATATAATTATCGGAAAATCGGAAGTATATAGTAATAAGGTTATTAGTGAAAACTTGTTGTATTTAAACTACCTAAAAAAAAATTTAGGTATAATGTTATACGTAATTTTTTTAATGCGCTTAAGGCATGTACAATTGGATTTACCAATATTTTTTTTATAAATTAAGGCTGACAAGTGATATTCATGCAAACAGAAACGCTGCCTCCGCCGCCACCGCTCCCAAGCCGGAGCTAATCGGTGAGTGCTCCCCGCACTACTAGCTGTGCCTCGACTTGCTTGTATTCGCTGTGCTTGTACGTGGTAAAGCCATGCTGCAGCTATATTAGTAGTATAGTTGTAGCACGAATGGGTCGGTTCGACCGGGGAAGGACCACTGTCAGAATACCAGCGTAAAATAGCAGCTTAATGCTGCTGTGTTTCATATGGTAAAGTGTGGAGAACCGGTGTTACGCCCCCAGCTGCCCCTGCAAAGGTTGCCTTGGCTAGGGCCCATAGTAGCCTCCTCGACGGGCAGCTGAGGGTTCGGGCCCAAATGGCCTATGGAGGAATGTCCTATCACACTACACAATAGAGATAAGGCTAGGTAAATAAATAGTACGTACCTGGATGCGAAGCTAAGACCGCACCAAGGGTCAGTCAGGTCTTAGGTAGGTGTAGGTGCATGTAAAGTGGTGTTTAGTGGTGTGTATATTCATGTGACCTGGCCCAGCTGAGGTGACCGGGCAGCCGCCTGGTGCGATGCTGCCCCACCATGTTTCATCACTCCAGCAGGCGTCACCAAGTGACAACTTCTTTCTTCATGTCACTATTTCAGTCTATCAACTTTATTGTACATTTAACTAACTTCAACTCAACTAATTCAACGGTCATCGTAAATCAAACACGTGATACCCGACACAAGTAACGAACAGTAGTTCAAAGTTCAACATTCAATGTTCCGGATTCATTTATCACCAAATTACACATAGGGAACTAACGCGATCTCTTCACGAGTCACAAAGTTCAGCGTTACAAACGACAACTAAATTCCTTCGTACGATATTAAATACTACGCCGCAATAAGAATTCAAAATCAACCTAGCTGACACGCAAACTAACTACAGAGTCAACACACAAAAGGCTCTTACCGCAACGGTACAATAAAACAATGATTTTCAAAACAATCAACCGGGTCACGCCCTCGAAATGGAATGCGAGCTTCAAATTCCAGACTGTATCTCTACTCGGCGCGCGCGCAAGATTCCACGTCACACAAACAAGTTAAAGATTGAAAAATGCACTTCAACACGCAATCACTATATAATTGGCGCAATTATTTTCAAACGAAATTACTTTAATCAGTCTAATTCAATACAAGTCTCTTGTCACGAACTTACAACTTAGGTTTACAACTAAACCGAGGCGGCCTTCACGAAACCACAATTTAGTAGCGAAGTAACGCGCACAAATACTAAAAATCTAGACCATAAACCCAAAAAACTGGTCGCGCGAAATATATGCAGCGGTCTCCAAAAAACGCTAATTGCCCGCACCGCTGCTCTCAAGCTACTGTCCTTCGCCCACGAGCGCCAAACGCCGGGAGGCCGCATACCGCTGCCCCCTCCCCGCGACGCGCGTGTACCTCACACATTGGGCGATTCGTTAAGTCAACGCTATTGGATGGCGTATCAAAATGACCATATTTGGGCCTAAACAACCAGAGACCTCTTTTACTGGAAACGAGGCATTCCAACTTAGTCCTCACGGGTGACAACGCATCGGCATTTTGATTCGTAGTCGAGTTTAAATGTAGATGTCTATGGGCCTCAGCAAACAATTACCATCAGGTGGACTGTGTGGTCGTTCGTCACCCTCATCAAAATGAAAATGTGTTGTCAACAATGCGGACTGATATAGAATACCTCTTTACCAGCAAGAAGGATCTCCAATTCTCTATACTGATATTTTGTAAGAGTGTGGTCGACCCCCATCAAGCTAAGCCATTTGTGCTGCAATAATAAAAATACCTGGTGCACAATATTATTTTATCACTTCCGTCTTACACTTTCCCAACTAGGAAAGGTCTATAAATTTCTTCACAGTAACGCCTGTTTCTTTTTTTCCCTGGTCTATTTTTCAAAAGAGCGGCAGGCTAATTTGCCGCTGCCACACGGCTATGTTTCTTCGTGTTTGTCGATCATTTAGTACCATCCCGGTGATACGTGACCACAGGCGGGCTTAGTCGTAGTCGTAGTCTCTGCCTACTCTTACCCACAGGCGTGAGGAGAAAAGGAGAATTTAATGTATATGTAACGCTAGTTTTAACGAGGGTCCACCACTTTTTCATTTACTACTTTTTCCGCCACCAAGATGGCGCCACTTTGGAATGAGGTGAAATTTTGACAGATTTCATGGCGAGAAAGTAAAATTTTTAGGAAAATAAAAAGCGTAATATTTGTTTCTGAAATATATATTTTATATTGTTGAGCACCGCCATTAATGCCTGGTAAATGGAAACACTAGTTACCACTAGCGCCCTCTAGTATCGAGTGGCAGAACTAGGAGAGTCAAGATCCTTCTAGAAATTTCCATGGAAGAACTTTCTAGAACTATCGACACCTAGTCAGTCGGAACCGGTATGTACTGTAATATTCTAAATGTTTTTACAGTAGAAGATTCTGGAACTATCTGAGGCCCTATATAAGGCCGGTATAGACCATGACCGGAGTCAGTGTTGTAATAATTACCTAATCAAGTATTTTTACGTAATTTGTATTAATAGTTATTAATTACACTTGATATTTACTGAATTTTATGTCTATTTATTTTGTTAAATTTTGATGTGAAAATGATGTCAAGTGTACTCACTTAACCAACCGCAAAGTTTTTAAATTTGTAAGTATTTTGTATCAATAGGAAAATAAAGATGGGATTTTTAAAGTAATTTGGCTATGGGGGTCTGAGGTATCAGTTCATTTTGGAAAAGTGGTCTCTTGCCTAAAATAGTTTGGGAATCTCTGGTTTAGTGTATATACATCATCGACAAGCTTTTATTTGAAACGCAACTTTTCCCTTATCCAAACTAGTGATATCTGGTGATGAAAATTATTAGTCCTCATTAATGAATAAAATGTCGTGTTTTGTACAGAGGAGTGCGCGTCACTGACTGCGCAGATGACTGCTCGTGTGTGGGACGCGCTGCCGCGATGCTCCGTGTCCGCGCCGCACGGCAAGCCGTGGCCACTCTACGTGAGTAACAGTTATTGCTTCCTCAGATACCCGTGCTTTGTAGTCACCAGCACCTCCCATGGTTCTGAAAACCAACTTTTTTCGTTTTAAACAGATGCGCACAAGTCCACTCATTTCTGAGAGGGTTTTCAGGCAGGGAAATGTCCGCCTTGCTGCTCCAATATGTGTTCTCATATGTTTTTGAAATATTTTTTTAATTTCTCATTAGACGTGCAGGTTTCCTCACGATGTTTTCCTTAACTGCTGAATGTTTTAAATCTACCGCTGGGATCGAATCCAGGTTGTTGACGTGCTGTGAATTTTATAGCAAAAACACGAACTATCTCATTATATCTGTATTTATAATTATTTGACTGAATTATAATATGAATAGATTTTTGTATACATAACATAACATATAAACACTCACGCCTGTCACCCAGAGGGGTAGGCAGAGATTATGGACTTCCATTTGGCACGATACTGACACACCTCTCTCGCTTCCTCCACGTCCATATACCTACGCATACACGCTCGTCGGTTAAAGGTACTCTTGATATGGCCCATTTTTAATATATCGCCAATTTGGTCGATAAACTTTCGCCTAGGGCGACCCTTCCCGACTATGCCGTTCACCTCTGCAACATAGATTTGCTTTGTCACTCTCCTCATTCATTCTTTCTACATGGCCAAACCACCGAAGCATTCCTTTCTTAATCCTGGTCACAACATCATCTTGCAAACCACACTCTTCTCTTATTAAACAATTTCTCACTCTGTCATTCAGCTTCATCCCTAATATACTCCTTAATGACCGCATTTCTACAGCATTTATTCTACTCTCATGCTTCTTCTGCCACACCCAACTTTCACTACCATACATTAAATTAGGTTAGGTAATTAAAACCTACCTACTTAAATTTTTGTATGTGTTTAATAAATTATCAAACATTAATATTTATTTGTAGTCTGTTGTATTAATTATTATCTGAGCTGAGCTGATTATTATATTACCAATTTTGTATTGACAACTCCCCTTCTGATTTGATAATTATTTTCTGGAGAGCCTACTACACAGACTGAATACGTGGTCAATCTGTGTAGTAGGCTCTCCAGAAAATAATTATTAATTTAAATTCCAAAATCAAATTTAAACTTGCATTTTATTTATACAGTATGTAAATTATTCTATCAGGTTTTTGGTATATATTCAATTGTCTTGATCGTGGACTGTTATGATGGTGTAACTGGTTTTGTAATAAATTAATAAAATAAAATAAAAATATCGCCGTGTTTTGTCCCGTAAGTGTTGTAAAAGGCAACTATGTGATATTCCAGAAAAATCTTATCGTTTCCGACAGATTGCTATATACTATCTTTGTTACGTCAGTGTCGAAGGTGCGAGACGTCTATCCTGTGATTTTCAATCTACTCTCCAAACGTGACAACTAAGGCAGTCTCACTATAATAGGAGAGGCACATATCCAGCTGTAGGTAAACTTTTTCCTTTGTTGATGTACATTAAAGAAAGAATTGAGATATTATAGTGCTATAAGTGTTGCCTAATACGTGTTGACGGACTTCACATTTCTTTGAAATACTTTTTTTTTCATTTCTCATTCATGCCGGTTCCCACACAATGTTTTCATTCACCGCTGAGCACGTGGCAAATCGGCACTTAAAATTGCAATTAACAATTTCATTGGTACCGATGGGCATCGAACCTGGATTGTTCATCGTGCTGTAAAGTTTACCTATAGTGAACGCTCAGCCCATTAGGTACTACGACTGTTGGTAATTAAAAATCTAATTTAAGTTAAAATGCAAAATCGACCATGTTTTAAAATAAAAGTAGCAAATTCAAGTAGACACTTTTTACTGGAAACGAGGCATTCCTTCGCAGTTTTCCGTGACAAATCATATGTATTTTGATTCTTAATCGAGGATAGATATAGATATCTATGGGCCACAGCATCCAATTAACATGTGTACTCTTTTGTTACCCTTATGCTATATAAAAGGCATAAAATACGATGTAGTAAGGTGACAACTACGTACTTAAATTTGTTGTCATGGTCCAGCTGGAGTACGACGTGGAGCCGGAAGCCCTACGTTACGTCCCCGAGCCGCCGGTGTATGCACAGTGCGACAGCACACCTGCTGTTGCTATGGACTCCATCCGGTAATTGTCCAATATAATTATGCACTGCAACTGTATACAACATGCGATGTAATATCTCTTAAAAGCAGCGCACAGCAACTTTATACGCGGTAGAATTCCGCTGCAGCTATATTACGGTTGTAGCACGAATGGATCGGCTCGATCGGGGAAGGACCACGCTCTCACAGAATACCAGCGTAAAATAGCAGCTTAACACTGCTGTGTTTCGTATGGTGAGTGTAGAGAATCGGAGACCCTTTTTACTGGAAACGGTGCATTCCATCTTAATCATCTCGGTTGATAACGCATCTGCATTTTGATTAGATGATCTGATCTGACTTTTGAAAAATGAGCATATTGTTTTTTTTTCCTTGTAATGTAAACAGCACTTCATATATCTTTCATTATTGGTCTAATTTCTTTCTTTTTATTTTTTTTATTCCTGCAAACTAGCACTAGGAATTTTTTCTGTATCTTGGAGGCAATTTGTAAACATAAATTGCACAAGGACAACATCCAGACCCAGGGTAATTATTGTAGGCCATACAAAAACTAAGGGTACCTTAAACCAGGGTAATTATTGTAGGCCATATAAAAAGGGGGTGCTAAGAATCTCCGGTGGAGGTTCAGTTGCCACCTACGACGACTCGACCTGGCAACATACAACGCACGCACCCTGAGGACTGACGAGAAGATTGTGGAGCTGGAAGAAGAGATAGACAAGTTACGCTGGCATATTATAGGATTATCCGAAGTCCGAAGAGAGGGGGAGGAAACGGTAATACTCGAATCCGGCAACTTGCTCTATTACCGGGAGGGCGACCATCTGTCCCATGGAGGTGTCGGATTTATCGTCCACAAGTCTCTCGTTAACAACGTTGTAAAGATTGAGTGTGTGTCGACGAAGGTTGCGTACCTTATACTCAGAATCACCAAACGGTATTCGCTGAAGGTCATACAGGTTTACGCACCAACCTCGGCACACCCCGATGAGGAGGTGGAGGAAATGTATGAGGATATCTCTAGAGCCATGCATTCCTCCAAAACGCAATATACGGTGTTGATGGGAGACTTCAATGCAAAACTAGGCACAAGAGAGAATGGTGAGCTGAAAGTAGGAAAATTTGGAATAGGGCAACGGAACCCAAGGGGCCTGCAGCTGGCCGACTTCATAGAGAAAGAGGGACTCTTTATGATGAACTCTTTCTTCCAGAAGCGGCCCCACAGGAAGTGGACCTGGTCGAGCCCCGACGGTTCGACAAAAAATGAGATTGACTTCATTATGACGACCAGACGACAACTGTTCAGTGATGTCTCAGTGATCGCGAGGGTGAAAACCGGCAGCGATCACCGAATGGTTAGAGGCACACTGAACCTAAACGTTAAGTTGGAGAGGTCTCGTCTAATGAAGTCAACGCTCCGTCCCCCTCGTGCTCTAATCCAAAGTCCCGAAACATTTCAGCTCGAGTTACAAAACCGTTTTCAGTGCCTAGAAGACTGCAATGAAGTGGACGATATGAATAACAAGCTCGTGAAAACTGTCCATGCGGTCGGAGCTAAGTTCTGCAAGACCTGCCGCAGAAGAACACAAAAACTCTCCGATCACACTCTTAATCTCATGGCTGTTAGATGAAGCTACATTATTCAACAGATTTGACAGCATACAGGCAACTGAACAGACAGATCTCCAAATGCATGCGGCGGGACTTACGCAACTTCAATACAGCTCGTATTGAAGAAGCGATCCAGCGGAACCAAGGCTCCAAAGTCTTTGCCAGAGATCTGTCTGCCAGAAAGAGCCTACTATCAAAGCTGAAGACAGAGTGTGGCAGCATCGTTTCCGGGGCACCTGAGATTTTGAGTGAGATTGAGAGGTTCTATGGGCAGCTGTACACGTCATCTTTGGAGCCACACGCGAGTCTGAGTAACGATCCAAGAGCGAGTCTTATCCGACATTATTCCGATGATATCCCGGACGTCAGTCTGAGCGAGATTAGAATGGCTCTCCAGCACCTTAAAAACGGCAAGGCCCCAGGCGAGGATGGAATTACAGCGGAGCTTCTGAAAGAGGGGGGAAAACCGGTACTTGAAGTCCTTCAGAAGCTCTTTAGAGCGTTGTCACCTTTCTTGAAGAATTACAGACCGATTTCCCTTCTGAGCCGCGTCTACGTGTTGTTTTCGAGAGTCATTACGAATCGTCTCCCGCGCAGACTTGACGACTTCCAGCCTCCCGAACAAGCCGGTTTCCGAAAAGGCTTTAGCACCATAGACCACATACATACCCTTCGGCAAATTGTACAGAAGTCCGAGGAGTACAATTTGCCACTATGTCTGGCGTATGTGGACTATGAGAAAGCCTTTGATTCCGTCGAAATTTGGGCGGTGCTGCAGTCCCTTCAGCGGTGCCGGTATATCGAAGTGCTGAAGTGCTTGTACAGTAGGGCTACGATGGCTATCCGAGTACAGAACCAGAGTACGAAACCTATCCAATTGCAGAGAGGTGTAAGACAGGGTGACGTCATATCCCCGAAACTCTTCACCGCTGCATTGGAAGACGTTTTCAAACTTCTGGACTGGAAAGGATACGTTATCTACATCAATGGCGAGTACATCACTCACCTTCGATTTGCCGACGATATAGTCCTTATGGCAGAATCGCTGGAGGACCTATGCACTATGCTCAATGACCTCAATAGTGCTTCCCAACGGATAGGTCTTAAGATGAACATGGACAAAACAAAAATCATGTTTAATTTCCATGTCACACCTATGCCGGTAGTTGTTGGGAGCACTAAGCTCGAAGTTGTTGACGAGTATGTTTACCTGGGACAAATAGTTCGACTAGGTAAGTCCAACTTTGACCGAGAGGTCAATCGACGGATTCAACTCGGTTAGGCAGCGTTCGGGAAATTACGGCACGTCTTCTCGTCAGGTATGCCTCAAAACTTGAAAACGAGACAGTACAACCAGTGCGTGTTGCCAGTGATGACATACGGAACTGAGACGTGGTCCTTCACTACTGGCCGGATGAGGAAGCTCAAGATCGCTCAGCGAGCTATGGAGAGGGCTATGCTCGGAGTTTCTCTGCGTGATAAACTCAGAAATGAGGATATCCGCAGTAGAACCGGAGTGACCGTCATAGCCCAACGGATTAGTGGGCTGAAGTGGCAAAATTCCGGCCATATAGCTCGAAGAACCGACAACCGATGGGGAAGAAAGGTTCTCGAGTGGCAGCCTTGTACCGGCAGGCGAAGTGTTGGGCGTCCCCCCACTAGATGGAGTGACGACCTTGTAAGATATGCAGGAAGTCGATGGATGCAGGTGGCTCAGGACCGTGCTTTGTGGCATTCGTTGGGGGAGGCCTATGTTCAGAAGTGGACTTGTGAAGGGCTGTAATGATGATGATGATGATACAAAAACTTGTTCCGTCCGGGATTCGAACCCGCGACTGCACACACTGCACCTTGGAGCCTTCGAATTTTTCGTGCTGTATGTTTTGAAAATTATAGACAAACTTAAATGAAATATTTCGTCAGTTATATGTACCTGGGCGGTGGACGAAGGCCAGCGCGTTGGAGACGCTGCGGACGCTGCGGGGCCAAGTCCCTGCCCGCGGCGGCGCCGGCGCGCAGCACCATACAGCGGGCCTACGATACGCGCTTTTTGGCACAGTGCAGGTATCCCTCTCTTTCTTTCGTGACAGGTAGGAAGGCGACAGACAACAAGTATCAACACTTAACAACTCCGTACAACCTGCGCTTCCTCGCTTTCTACAAGTTTCTGTCTTTTTTTTTTGCTGAGTAGAAACGAAAGAGGAAGCAGATTTATCCAGGATTACGGCGGGCCTACGATACGCGCTTTCTGGCGCACTGCAGGTCTTCGCATCTCTTTCTTTATTACCAAGTAGGAAAGCGACAGACAGCAATTATCAAGCCTTAGAGTACAATCTACGACCAACACTTCCTGCTTTGTACAAGCACATGGGTAAATAAAGGGAACAGAGATAAAGTTTCATACAACCCCGCGAATCGGTTACACTGCTACAAGCACGCGGGGCATGTGTGCGTGATCACTGGTCGCTTGTCGCGTACGCGGCGAGACTGGAAACACCCGGTTCCCTAGCACAGCCAGTGGACAACAATCTCAGGGTTAGTGCGACGCACAGTGTTTGTTTTGTTAGTTGTATTTAAAAACGTGGTATTTATTAATAATGATTATTTGTTGGAATCCCCAACGGGTCAGTGCAGACAGTAACACTGCAGTGCAAGCACTGCTGTTTGGCAGCAGAAATAGGTAAGAGGGTGGTACCTGCCCAGATCGACTACGAAGCAAAAAATACGTCCTCCCACCAAAATGCCAGTTTATCTAACAATTTGTTTTCCGAACAGATTTCTTTCTTCGTGAACGCAACCTCGGGCACCTGGTGCCTATAGATGGGTGCAGTAGCCGACCTTATTTGAAAACGTGCGGAAAAAATCTCAATACGCCAGGATCTCTTTACGTGTTCTCCTTTCTCCTCACGCCCTCTATCTTTACTAGCCAATGGAAAAGAGACAAAATGGAGGCACATATCATATTACACTGCGACATACTTCTATGCTTTGCCTTGTCGCGTGAAGGTGTCTGTCTCTTTCTTTACAAGTGAATGTAAAGGTGACAGAAACAGAGTTATCGAAACCGCTGTCTCGTCACATCTCTGCATGTCAAACTCTGCTTTAGGGTTATCATATTAATATTTTAATTGATTTTGTTTCAGGTGCGGAGGAAAATGGACGCTGTATTCTAACATATAAATAAATATCTAGTGTAAATTATTAAATTTAAGAAATGAAGTTTTGTAAATAAATTATTTGAATTTAATAGTTGTTTTTATTTTACCATAGACAATGCTTACCGTCACCTCCCTGTTTTTATCGTTTTTTTTTTTTTATTTAGCTGCCATAATTCCAAATTTGACGAAATCTGTAATGTGACATCCTGGAATAATCAGGGTACCGATTTTTGTATCGATATTTTTATGATATTTTGTTGTAATCATCATGGTCATCTTAATACATTGGACCGTCTACTTAACAACTGTATCAAATACATTTATGGTCTTCGTAAATACGACCATGTATCTTCTTTTCGTGCCCAGCTAAATTGGCTGCCTATCCGTTAGCGCAGATATGTTAGAATAATCTGCACCCTTTGCACAATCCTGAAAGATCCATGTGCTCCCGAGTATCTGAATACCAAATTTCAATACCTGGGAGATATGAAAGATTAAATAAATAAATCTGAGGTTTTTTTTTCAATGTATATTCCTGTATTAGCGAAAAGGGATGACAAAATTTTATTTATCTTGCACGTTTACTTAACTACAAATTATATCAGTTTCTGGAATATTAGAATAATTTGAATGAAAACACGTATAATCTGCGAGTCTGAGTTCAAGTGATTAGGTTAATAATTGAAGTAAGGTAGTGTAGTTTTGCGCTGTTTGAGATCTTTTACTATTTTTAGAAATATAAAACCGAGAACGTGGATATAATATACCTAAACCAATCATATAATATCGAACAAAATGTATAATGATTTTTTTTTGAGTATCAAAAACTATTTTACTTAAATCTGTGTAAATCGGTATTTTACGTTTACGATTTCTGTAAATAATTTTGCCCAGCACAACCAAAACGCTACAGCATAACCATCGCTAAATATTTTATTGCATACTACTTTTTTTTACTATAGCATATTAATCATAGCTTGAACCAACAAACGCACAGAGTAATTACATAGGCTGCATGCTGAATGATGAAGTTTCGAATTTAAAGAGATGGAAGGAATACTTTGAAAGCGTGTTTAAGAGTGAAGAGTCGTCTGGAATAAGTGAAATAGAAATTCCGGAAGAAGTGGAGAGAGGTAGGGAGATAAGTGTAGATGAAATAATGAAAGCAATGAAAAGCATGAAAGCAGGTAAGGCAGCCGGATATGATAGAGTATCACTCGAAATGCTGAGGGCTGGTGAGGGTGTGGTTACAGGCCTGCTGCACACCTTGTTTAATTTATGTTGGGAACTGAAACGGGTACCGGAAGACTGGTGCAAAGCCGTTATAGTCCCAATATATAAGGGAAAGGGGTCGCAGCAGGACTGTAAAAACTACCGAGGTATCAGCTTGCTTAGCATTGTGGGTAAACTGTATGCTAAGGTGTTAATTGAAAGAGTTATGGAAGAAACTGATGGAAAAATTTGGGATGTGCAAGCTGGATTTAGAAAAGGGATGGGGTGTACGGATCAAGTCTTTTCCATGCGCATGATAGCGGAGAAGTTTTTGGCTAAAAACCAGAAAGTTTTTTGTGCGTTCATGGACTTGGAAAAGGCTTATGACAGAGTGGACAGGAATGTGTTATGGCAAACACTGAACTCATTTGGGTTGAGCGCTGGCTTGATACAGGCATTAAGATCTCTTTATAGGGACTCTAGTGCTTGTGTCAGGATCAACGGGGTCTACTCGGACTGGTTTGGCATTCATAAAGGTGTCAGACAAGGATGTGTGGCTTCCCCGTGGCTGTTTAACTTATTTATGGACAGTTGTTTGCAAACTTTGAAAGTTGAAGAATATGGGTTGAGAATGGGTGAGTCAACCGTCAAATGCCTTTTGTACGCCGATGATCAAGTCATATTTGCATCGTCGGCGGCCGAGTTGCAAATGATGGTTACTTTAATGAATTGGTCATTGAAAGAAAGGGGTATGAAAGTGAACGCAAGTAAGACGAAAGTGATAAAAATAAAATAAAAATAAAATAAAATAAACTTTATTTCAGTAACATAATTCGTACAGTTTTAACCGTGTCCGGAATCTCCTTTTAAGTAAAAAAGATACCTGTGTTAGGAGATTCTGCTCTTCCATAACAAGTCACTTCCACAAAATTTGTGTGTGTGTGTGAGTGATGGTTTTTGAAAGAGAAGAAAGTAAAACTTTATGTGAAATAAGAATAGAAGGGGAGTTGATTGAGCAAGTGGATGAGTTTGTATATTTGGGATGTTTATTTAGCAGGGATGGTAGATATGATAAGGATATAGAACGACGAGTGAACGCAGGAAATAGAGTGAATGGGGCTCTACACGCTATTATGAGGAGTCAGAATGTGTCAACTAAGGCACGTATGGCAATTCATAATGCTGTGTTAGTCCCTACTTTAATGTATGGTAGTGAAAGTTGGGTCTGGCAGAAGAAGCATGAGAGTAGAATAAATGCTGTAGAAATGCGTTCCTTAAGGAGTATGCTAGGGCTGAATCTGAATGACAGGGTGAGAAATAGTGTGATAAGAGAAAAGTGTGGTTTGCAAGATGACGTTGTGACAAGGATTAAGAAAGGAATGCTTCGGTGGTTTGGTCATGTAGAAAGAATGAACGAGGAAAGAGTGACAAAGCAAATTTATGTTGCGGAAGTGAACGGCAGGGTCGAGAAGGGACGCCCTAGACGAAGGTTTATCGACCAAATCGGCGATACATTAAAAATGGGCCAGATTAGGAGTACCCTTAACCGACGAGCGTGTATGCGTAGATATATGGATGTAAAAGAGGCGAGAGAGGTGTGTCAGGATCGCGCCAAATGGAAGTCCGTAGTCTCTGCCTACCCCTCTGGGTGACAGGCGTGAGTGTTTATGTTATGTTATGTTAATTACATAGCTACATACGAGTATAGCACAACCATAGGGCTACTACTACTACTAATATTTATTTAATTATTCATCGCACACTAGCAGTGTACACATTATAACATTTTTATTGAAAGTAGGCTTAATCTAGGGACTGAAGTATGCACCCTTATAGGTGCACAGATAATAAATAAGTAAGACAATAAAACATGCATATAACCAAGCAGTAGCTGTAAGGAACATGGATATTAGATTATAATTAAATCATTCACAAGTCATTTATAATAGTGATCTATTACTACGTTATCATGTCGTTGAGAGCCATGCTACCGTCATAAGAGAAAAGGGCGCATCTAACAATTTTTGAAAAAACTAGTAAATATACCATTCGACTCGAGATAAAAAGACGCATCTACTCAATTTTTTTAATTTTAAAAAATATCAACATTTTAGAAAATATCGTAAGAGTTTTAGACGTAAATTTTGATAATTTTTTTTTTTTTTGTAGAAAAGACTTATTCAAATTCAACATAAAAGAAAATACTTATTTAACCAGTTGCTACGTCATCTTTAACAATATTTGCATCGCTTACTTAGATCAAAAGACGTAAATTAATAGTTTTAAAATGAAAAGACGCTTTTGGTTTCTTACTTCCAATCATCTTGGTATTCACAGTGATTAAAATAATTATAGGTATCGATTATTTTTTTGAAAAGCACATATATTATTCAGTAGACCGGCGCAAAGAAATTAATCTTTTTTTACAAATATGACGTGGTCAGAACAAAGGATTTTTATACCACAAAATACTTCTACGACGCGACAAAAGAGACCCAAAATAGGTGAAAGAAAACTGGACAGACAAAATACTGTTTCTTACTTTTTACTGAATAGTGCCGCTACTAAATTGAATGTCTGTAAGACATGTTTTTAGAAACTTTGGGCTTTAACAGGGAAAATAATAAAGTTGTTAGAAATTCCAATATCGAATACACGGGCATATTTAAATGATATGTGCCAAATTACTTTTCGCAGAGGTAATCAATTCAAGCTATTTTATAAAACAAATTTCGATGGTGATGAACATTCACTAGATTTCTTAAGAGTAAAGAATATTAAAAATGGAATACCCGCTCTTAAGCAAAATTTTACTTTCAGAGGTACAGGGTTACAGAGATTACATCTGAACGAAAATTTAAAATAATTAGGGAATTAGGGCCACTCATGCCGGAAAACAGAAGAGTGTTACTGATTGGTTCTGAGCTGAAGTTCTGAGGCGCAATAAAGTTTTATAAGTAGAGAGAAGAGGCATGAAGGAGCCAGGTTTTGAAAGAGCCATTTACATTATTTTGGTAGTTTATGAACGGATTTGGTTGGTAGTTTTATTTTTAAGTTGCAACACTGATTCCCTGGCACTCACAAACATTTGACAGTCCGCCGAATCCAACGGACGCTGGTACATCGAGTCAAAGTTTTAGGTACTAAAAAGTACGTATTTTGCTTGATTTAATTTGTTTTTTGGTATTTTATTGTAAAGAAATATGGGTAAATGGATTATAGATTGAGTTTGTGCATATACTTGGCCTTGCAGCTGCGTTAAAACACCCGCAAAAGGTTTGATACTCGTATTGTTGTTATTTTAAAGGTTATATATATTTTTAAAGAATAAGTTAACAAAGATCCGGGTGGAGACTTAAAAGAACTGGCTCTTTCATAACCGGCTCTTTCATAACCCTGAATTTAAAATTTTGTAAATAAAATAAAATAATAGTAAATACACATTTTTTTCATATATTATTAAATTATTTGCTTCAGATATTGCATTATGTAAAAGCCTGGTCCAAAAAAACGAGAAATACCAGAAAAATCGGTAATTGAAGAAGCAGTCAGTGAAGTTTTGGAGAAAGATCAGTCCATAAACAAAACTGCACTTATCTTTAATATATCGAGGGCATACTTAGCTAAAATAGTTAAAAAAAGTAAAGGCTTCTGGTGAATCAACTTATAAACACTGTCCTAATATAGGAAATAAGCGTATTTTCACAACAGACCCGGAGAATATGTTTGCGGATTATTTAAAGACTGTTTCTAAAATGTGCTATGACCTAACAGGCAAGAAACTAAGAAGCTGGCATTTGATTATGTCAT